TGTTGTAACTATTTTTTGTTTGTTAGAGATGTAACTTAGTTAATTACATGTAACTTGGATTGATTAGGATTAACTAAAGTTAGATTAGCATTGTAATTGAATTGTAAATAGTATAAATTGTATTTTTGATTAATAAAATTGTAAGTTGAATTAGAATCAAATTTTCGTTATGGTATCAAAGTTTGAAAGCTCAAGCAAGCTTGAAGGCCCGTCAATGGCGTCTTTTTGTTTTAATTTCCTTCTAATCTCTCACTTTTGATTTCAAACCTCAACTCATTCATAACAATCAAGCTCTATGCATCTAACTTCATCATTTGGAAGAATTAGCTTCAGAACATCCTTCGAGCAACTAGTTTGATCTTTTATGTTGATGGATCAATCGCTTGTCCTTCACAATTCGTCAAGAGCTCAACCAATTCTGATGTGGTGAATCTAGAATATACTCAGTGGTTGCTTTTAGATGCATATCTTCTGAGTTACATCACTGTAACTTTCTCCATTAATCTTTACTTCAGTGTTCCATTGCAAAACTAGTCGTGAAGTATAGAATACTCTCGAGAGGAGATTCACATTCTTGTCTATAGACCATACATTCAGTAGCTTAAAAATAAGCTTCATAGTGTTGTGAAGACATCAAGATGGATGGACGATTATGTCTCACAGATCAAGACAATCTCAGATTAATTGACCATGGCTGGATCACCAGTTGGTGATGAGGATCTTGTCCTCTTGACTCTTAGTGGCCTTCCGGTTAAATACAATGCCTTTAAAACTACAATTCGTGCAAAATCTAAGCAGTTTCTATGGAAATACTTTCATCTTTGCTATGTTCTGAAGCAATACACATTGAGTCATCTCGTCACTAGTCATCTAACTTGCATGTTGCTTACACTGCATCAAATCAAGGATATTATCAGTCATCTTTCAAGCCTAATTCTCATAATCTATCTGGTTATCGAAATTCTTCCTTTGGTCCACCTAATTCTCATAGAGGAGGAAGAAATGATAACAGGGGCAAATATTTTCAAAAAGCAAGAAAAGGCAGATCTGATAATTTCAACAACAACAACACCTTTGTCATTTATTAGATCAGTGGAAAGAATAATCATATTGCTCTCAATTACTGGTATAAAATCGATTATTCATATAAATCTCAGTCTTCCAAAACTTCTAATGCTTCCTCTGATTTTCAAAACAAGGCATATATTGCATTTGCCTCATCTCCTTATGAGAATTGGTTTCTTGACTTTGAAGCTACAAGTCATGTCATTCATGACTTGACCAACCTACAAGCCCATCATCCTTATCAAGGGATAGAATAGGTCGTTGTTGGTGATAAAAATTCCTTTCATATCCAACACAAAGAGAATGGTATTCTTCATACTCCCTCTCATTCCTTTGCTCTTAAAAATCTTCTTCGTGTTCCATAAATCTCATCAAATCTTATTTTGGTTCACAAATTTGTCTTAGATAATTATTGTATTACTTTTGATTCTAATGGATTTTGTATTCAAGACGAGCATGATAAGTCTATTCTCTATCAAAGCTCCAACACAAATGGACTCTATCATCTTCCTGATGTTCTTCCTAGACATTCACACTTATTCGAAAGCTTGTATCAGTACTATTACTGCTTCTTCTGTTGATTGGCACTCTAGATTAGGTCATACACCTGCTCATAAGCTTCATGTAGTTTGTAATAAATTGAACTTGCCTAACTATTCAAAAAGCTCTTCTATTCCATATAATCACTATTGTATGGCCAAAGGTCATAGGTTACCATTTGGTTTGTCTTTGACTACTGCAAATAAGCCCTTTTCTTTTATACATAGTGATGTGTGGAGACCATTTTAGCATTCTTCTTCTACTTTTTCTTACAAGTACTATGTGTTGTTTGTTGATGAATATAGTAAGTTCACTTGGTTATATCCCTTACACTATAAAAGTGAAGTGTTTGGTAAATTAATGGAGTTTAAGTCCTTTGTTGGAAATCAATTTGAAGTTCCTCTAAAAATTTTGATAACTGATAATGGAACAGAGTACTTAGGAAATCAATTTCAAGCTTTTCTTCGCACTCATGATATAGAACATCAACTGGCTTGTCCTTGTACACCTCCACAAAATGAGGTGGCTAAAAGGAAACATAGACATATCATTGAAAACAACCATTGCTTTCTTGCATCAATCTTGTGTGCCGCTGGCCTATTGGTTTGATGTTGTGGCCACTTTTTTCTTTCTTATTAGTAGATTGCCTATCTCCAAACTTTAAGATTAGTCTTTTTTTGAAAAATTGTTCCATCAATTACTTGATTACAATTTCTTAAACCTTTTGGTTGTCTTTGTTTTCTTTGGTTAAAGCCCTATGTATCTCACAAATTGCATCCTAGATCTTTTGCTTGTGTCTTTCTTGGTTATATCCCATCTACTAAAGGCTAAAAATGGCTTGACCCAGTCTTAGGGAAAATTTATATTAGTAGACACGTTATCTTTCACAAAACCTTCTTTCCTTTTTCTTCTCTTCCTCCACATAATCTTTCACATTCTTCTTCTACTCTCTATAATTTTTTTTGGTCTTCTTCTTTTGACACTCAATCATGTGTTCCATCTGTTGCAACATATACTTTTATGCTTCAGTTTATTGCTCAGTCCCTATTTTGTCACCATCGCATGACTTGTCACAGCCTGCTCAGTCTATTCTGCCTCAGATTAATGTCTTGCCATTGTCTCCTTAGTTGCAGCCTATGCATAATCCACCTCAGTTGTAACCTAGTGCTCCGTCTAATGTCTCTCCTATTGACAATAAGTTTGCTCCCATTCCTATTGATTTTGTTTATATCGATTCCCACCATTACTGTTTGACTTCTACTACTCCTAAGTCTAACCCTACTGTTAATCAACACCCTATGGTTACAAGGTCCAAGGCCAAACATCTTACTTTATCTACTATGTCAAATCCTTTGTCTTTGGATCTCATTAAGCCTCACACTTATAAGGAGGTTACTCTTTCCTCAACTTGGACTGCAGCCATGAATAAAGAGTTTCAAGCTCTTCAACACCAATCTACTTGGACATTAATGCATTTTCCTCCTACCAAATAAGCAATAGGGTGTGAATGGATTTTCTTGTCTCAAAAGAAATTCAGATGATACTATTGCATGGCATAACGCTTGTTTGGTTGCTACGGGTTATCTTCAAGAAGAAGGCCTTAACTACCATGAAACCTTTAGCCCTGTTGCAAACAACCTACCATTCGCATTTCGTTCTATTTAACCCTCCATTTTGATTAGCCTATTAAATAGCTTAATATCTCCAATTCTTTCTTACATGGTGTCTTGGAAGAAGAAGTCCACATGACTCAATATCCATGATTTGTTGATAAGACCAATCCTCAGTTTGTATGCAAGTTGACTAAGGCTATATATGGTTTAAAATATGTACCTCGTGCATGGTATTCGACCTTTTCTACATTTCTTCTATCAAATGGTTTGGTTACTAGTGCCTCCGATCCTTCTCTTTTTATTCAGCAGACATCCATTACAATTACTGTGTTGCTTGCCTATGTGGATGACATTCTCTTAACATGCAATAGTTCTTCTCACATTACCTCTCTTATTGCTCATATGCACTCTACATTTTCAATGAAAGAATTGGGTCATATTAATTATTTTCTAAGTATCTCTGTTAATCACTCCTCTTCAACTTATTTCTTATCTCAATTTAAATATGGTCTTGAGATCCTTGCTAAGGCTGGCATGTCAGATTGTAAGCCTTGTGCTTCTCCTATGTCTATGAAACCTTCCACCACTTCCTCTACTAATAGTCCATTTTTCTCAGCTCTCCTTGTATAGGAGTGTGGTTGGAACTCTTCAGTATCTCACCATCATTAGGCCATACATTGCTTTTGTTGTCAATTATGCTTGTTTATCTATGCAAAATCCTTCTGAAACTGATTATGCGTCTGTCAAATGTTTGTTAAGATATTTGAAAGGAACAGTTCATCAAGGTTTTTCTTTCATCCCAAGTCCTCTTGAACTCCATGCATTTTCTGACTCAATTTGGGTTGGGAGTTTTATTGATAGAAGATCCACACTGGTTATTGTGTATTTTTGGGTCCCAATCTTATTTCTTGTTCTGCTAAAAAATAGCCCACAGTCTCAAGGTCTTCCATTGAGCCTGAGTATAGAGCCTTGGTTTAAGCTACAGTCGAAGTAAGTTGGCTTTAGATGCTTCTCATTGATTTAAAGGTTTCCCATCCTTGTCCTATCCTATGGTGTGATAACCTCTCTGCTATCTCTTTGTTAGCAAATCTAGTTTTCCATGCTAGGTCCAAATATATTGTTGTTGATTATCATTACATTTGAGAGAGGGTAGCTTCCAAACAGGTTTTCCACTACCTGTTTCTCAGTTTCAATTTCTTCATGACAAGCTCATGGTCCATTCTCCTCCCTTGAGCTTGAGGGGGCCTGATGAGAATACATAGAGCATGGCAAGGTTGAGGCTCATGTGATGGCTTCAAGTGCAACTCACACTCAAGCATCAACTCATCAATTCAACAAATGCAACTCAAGCTTAAGTCACGTATGGAGTGATCAAGGCTTGATGTTTGTTGTAACTATTCTTTGTTTGTTAGAGATGTAACTCAGATAGTTAGATGTAACTCAAATTATTTAGGATCAACTAGAGTTAGATTATTTCTGTAACTGAATTGTAAACAGTATAAATTGTATTCTTGATCAATGAAATGGTAAGTTGAATTAGAATCAAATTTTCGTTAGTATTACATTGTAGTTCTCTAGTTTTGGGTGGCAAATGGTTCAAAGGTCAGCTAATCATGTCTAGTACTTTCGCTCTTATATAATTTGTGCAGCAACAACTAAGGTTTAGGATATGAATTTAGTATTTTGGTTGTCGTCACTTATTTGATAGTATAGACATCAATTAGATCTACAAATTTTTAGCATTGGTCCTTTTATGGAGTAGAATAAGCGTAAGTGTAAATATTTGTCAACTGTAATGATCTCCTGTTACTGTTTTATTGATCTGGTGGAGTTTCATTCAAATCCCAGAAAACTATACAGCACATACATACTATGTAAAATACACTAGAGATATTCATTCTATTTAAACTAAACAACAAATTTCATTGTAAAACAAACAAAGCAAACCAACATAAATGACAATTACAGAATAGATCTTCAATTTCCTCTGGCTGTGATGTAAATGTTAGTGGATGATTATGGTTGGTTCCAGCAACTTACATGGGCAACAAAATCACACCCTTCTGCACACTTATAGGCCCAGAGGTTTGGTTTTCTATCTGTCTCACATGCGTCACAGACATACTCTTCTTCTGGATTTTCTACCACGGAATAGGTCAGTACTAAGGAATGCCTGTGACATTTGAGTTTAGTAGATGGCGGTGCTGTGGCACATTTGATGTGTAGTTGGAATTTGCAGCCAAAACATTCAAATGCGAGGCCTTCACAAGGATCACCGCAGGCATTACAAGGCGGTTCGTACCCAGATCTTACCTTTTCTTTCCCTTGGATTTTGACAGGTAATACTAGATTTTTGTGACGCTTGTAGCGGATTAAAGAGAGCACGTGCTCATGGCCTTCATGATTGTACTCATCATGTATTGAAGCACACTGTAATTCGACTTCAAATCCACAAATTTCACAGCAAAAGGACAATCCGGTACAATCAAAATCACAGACCCTGCATTTGAACTCGTGTTCTTGTGCTGTGAGGGAGAGGGGGTGCTCCTGGTGAAGCATGTGCCAAATTTCATAGGGTAATTCAGCACATGATTTGTGAAGATAAAACTTGCATTTGTTGCAAATGTATGTCAAACCTGAGATTTCCTTGCAAATGTTAATACTGAGTAAAAACTTAAAATTATTGATTGTATATTTTATATGGTTTATGAAAGTGATTGAGATATATTGAAGCAAGTGTATGTCAAACCTGAGATTGGTTGTTGGCATCCATTGCAAAGAATGGCTTCATTCTTGTCTTCATTAAAGAGTCTTAAGGGATGGCGGTGACAACGATGTTCCAATTCCGACAGTTTCATGTCTTTCTCCTTCTCTCGCTCCGTCAACCTCACTTCCTTCATTTCCAAAAAAACCTTTTTCTTGGAAAGAAATTCTTCTCCTACCTTTAGAGATCTTGACACGTTATTCAATGAACTTACAATAATCTCCCACCTAGTTTCCTTAATCCTTTTTATCACATTCACATACAAAGCACATGAAGAGAAGAGATTTACAGGTGGGGTTAACTCAGTGTTGGCACAACTAATATGACAAACAAGATTAGGTTTGCAATCGCAGCAATAGACCCAGTACTTTCTTGGGTCTCTTTCTTGCTCACAAATGTCACAATAAGACTCATCTGAATTGTCATCTTCTTGAATCGGTGGCACGAGCGTGAATTGATGCCTATGGCGCGATTTCTTATCTATAGTGAGTGGCAAGAGTGCACACCTGACATGGAGGTAGGTCTTGTTGTCATTGTCATCGAAGCTTTGAAGGGTAGGGCCTCTGCAAGGTTCGCCACAAACATAGCAGAGAGGACTATCTTCGTCTCCAAACGGTTTGGGTCTGTGTTGTGTTATTCGGCTCAAATGTTCCATTAGACGAGTGGTCTTTTCCGAAGGCTCATCGTAGTTAATACTAACACTGTCAATTTGATCGAAATTGGTAGAGGCTGAGGAAACAAGCAGGTAAGTTTTTTGATCATGAAACTGAAATGCATGGTTCGGGTCTGGTAATGAAGCACACTGGACATGGAGATTGAATTGGCAAGACTCTGTAGAACAATTGTATCTGAATCCGAAATCATTTCTGTGACAAAAGCTACAGAGGAATTCGTTTAAAAATGTTTCTGGGGAGAGGGTGAGAGTGTGCGGGTGAAGTGGGGGGATGTGAAGCTGTCGAGGCAGCTCGGAGCACCATTTGTGGAGATTAAATTTGCAGAGAATGCAACTGTAGGTTAAACCAGTGATGGGTTCGTCGCAAGCGTTGCAATCGATTTCGTTCTCAATTCTCTCATCGGAGAGGATTAAGGGATGATGGTGGCTAAAGTGTTGGAGTTCCATATCTCTCAATGTGTGACTCTAATGATGATATGTTGGAGAAGAAAAGGTTGGGGAATTGAAGTAGTCTTAACTTAGATTTTATTTATATAACAATCTAACGCGTTAGAGTGCTGCAAGTTGCAACAACCAATGACTTGCAGGTCTCTGAGCTCATCCATTTGGTGGGATTTAAAAATTTTGAAGTTTTTTTCTTTTCTTTACTATCACTCCTTTTTCCATTTGGAATTAAAGATAAGAACATCCCAACGCGTTTATATATCCTCCAAGAAGATAAACAGGCTGATGTGTATAAGTTCGTTGGACAAATATATTAAGGTATGAAGAAGGCACGCGGATTTAATTTGGGAGCATGATTAAAAATCAATTTTTAATTTTTAATTTATTTTAGATTATATTATCTTTTTATTTTTTTTTTACAATAAAAAAAAAACTTAAAAAATTAACTTTTAACCAACTTTTCAAAACAACCCAAAGTTTATCCTGACACGTATTCAATAATTTAATTTTTTTATAGATTGTTCATAAAAAATAAAATAAATTTTGATATATCCAATGATCAATTATATTTGTATTTAAGAAAATTAACGGTAAATATAATTTTAAAACTAAACAATTTTTTTTAGAGATAATATAATAAAATTATATGGCTACAAATTTTTGATTACTTTGTTTTTTTTTTTTTTTTTTTGAATGATCTATACACAATAACTTTAAAATGAACAAATGAGATTATTAGAGAGTGACATGTGATAGACTCCTACAGATTAAATCATAAGAATGAGATTTATGGTGAACCTAATAGCCAAACAGTAATGCTACGTAGTTCGAATCATTCCTTCCCCGACTCCCCCAAATTCAAAATGACATCGTTTCGTCGTTTTGATTTTTTTTTTTTTTCCAATAACGCAGAAGAAGAAGAAGAAGAAGAAGAAAAATCAAAAAAGAAGAAGAAAGAAGAAGAAGAAAAGAGTAAGAGGAGAGTAGCAGAGAGAGAGAGAGAGAGAGAGAAAATCATCAACAACAACATCATCATCATCATCTTCAGATCTTCATCTACATCATCATCAACAATCATCTTCAGAAAAAAAAAAAAAAAAAAAAAAAAGAAGAAGAAGAAGAAGAAGAAGAAGAAGAAGAAGAAGAATCAACCATTCAGATCCAGAACATCTTCATTATCAACCATCTTCATCATCATCAACCATCTTCATCAACATCACCATCATCATCATCAACACATTTTCAGGAAAAAAAAGAGGGGAGGGGTTGCGATCGATCTGGAAAAAAAAACGGGCTGAAAAAAAAAATCGAAGGCAGAGGCGATGGGCGATGGCGGAGGCAATGGCGACCCTCTTCCCCTCTCTTCTCTTTCTCTCCTTCCCTTTCTCTTTCTCTCCCTCTTCCTCTTCCTCTTCTTCTCTCCCTCTTTCTGTTTCTCTCCCTCTGTTTCAGACATAAGGAAAAAAAAAAAACTGCCCAAAGCGACGTCGTTTTGGGCCATCAGGGGATTCGGGGAAGAAAAATTCGGGGGGAAAATCATTTTCCATGGCCAAAATATATATTTTTAATTCGTTTTACTTAAAATGTCTAAAATACATTTTTTCATTTAGTTTAATGGATAAAATATTTTTTCGGGTCAATTTTGCTTCATAGAAATAAACAAATGATTATAAGAGTCAAATTTTGATTTCATTTTAAATTTTCCTAGTTTTCTCTCTCTTACGTGGTATGTATGTGTGGAAATACGCATGCTTTTAATTTTTTAAAAAGCCACTTGAGATAATAAAATCAAAAGGTTACAAAAATATTAAAGAAAAAATTAAGAATACAAAACAAATTTCACCGCATATTGTACCATATACTTGTGATACACATTATGGTGTGAGTTCCACTCCTGTTGTGAATATATATATATATATATATGTATATATATATTCATAGTCGAACTCAACATTAAATTATGGAGAAAAGTTTCATGTTGTGTTAGGGAATTCCATTACTGAGAGGGAAGTTTTTATATGCACTAGGGCCGAACTAGGCCAAGGCGCAGTAATGGGCCGTTTTGTGGGCCGTGGTGAACAGGGCCGAGTAAAAGGACCTTGCGGTTAGCTCGGTCCAATTGCGGTTATGGTTACCACGGTCGGTATATTTAGCTTGGTCACGGTATTCAGAACTGAGGTATTTGGGCTTCTTATGGTGGACCTTACTCTCGTTAACTCGGTCAAAGCTTACTGCGGTTAGCTCGGTCTTGATGGACCAAACCGAGGTACAAGCAATGGAGGGAAGAACCAAGCCAGTTGGAGCTCGGTCATTTCTGCCACTTTAGCATGGCCATGTTAGCTCGGTCGTTTTTGTCATACTACCGAGGTAAAACCACCTCACTTGGTTTAAGCAGTGAATGGGGTGTTGAAGGATAAGCATTATCTTTCAGGAGTATGATTCCTATGAGGACTCTAGATGGAGGAATAAGAGTCCTACTAGGATTGTGCCACACGGAACCTATAAAAAGCTCACAACATCACCTATATAGAGGTAACACAATTTTGATTCCCGAATACACAGAGCTTTTGTCTATTTGTTTATTTTACTGACTTAGGCATCGGAGAGGTATCTGGCACACACCTGCCGACTAGTTCACATTTGTGTTTTCAAGAAAAAAAGTGACGACGTTTGGAGGAGTGCAAACTTGATCAACAGGATCATACGAGAAAGATTATTTCGTGCTCGTACAATTGGTGTCGTTTATGGGACTTCCACAAAGAAAAAAACCTCTTGATCAAGTTTTCCTCGCTAGTTGGAGGCAATGGCGCATAATGAAGACTTACCGCAATCAGCTATTGACGGGCAAACCCCGGAGGGGGGTGGAAGGCACGCAGGCTTGCCTTCTATCCCTCTCATGGCGGATTTAGAACCCTAGCGACAGAACCCCCGGAGGGACGCAAGGGGAAGGCGAGTTAACAGCCCTCATTGCTCTCAAAGTCCTGAAAGACAAAGGTAGAGGATAGACCCTTAACTTCTGGAAGATCGCGTAAAGGAGCAGGACAAGTTGATATGAAGGATAACAGCGGACATAGAGCCAATGAAGCGCTAGATAAAAGGAAAAGGGGTGGCGAAAGGAGAGGGGCGCAAAAGCAACACGTCCCCTCGCCACTCGGAAGATCGTGGTAGGCATACCACACCATCGCAAGCAGAGAGTAAGAGCCTAAGAACAAGCGACACTCAATCAAGGACTTACAGGACTCGTTACTCCAAGTCTGAGAGAACGAGAACTGAGACGTCATATACTGAGGGAAGCACCTATCGGCCCTCGCACACGCATCAGACGTCATCTAGGCACACGGAGTTGCCCAGAACATCTGACTTGTGAACTGTGCTTGAAGAAAGGGCGCGATGGAAGAAGGATGTCAGTGCACGTGACCCACGCAGAGTTTCAGCCCTTCAGCGGTTGGCCCCTCGGACGCATGGGAGCGTCGAGGTAGGAATGCCAATACCGCGCCTTGCTTATGAACCAACAGACAAAGCATTAGCAAGGCTTCAAAGCTCGCCGTTCGTTCCAACAATTGAGAACGCGCCACTACCTTCAGGCTTCAACTAGCCCAAATTCACTACTTATGAAGGGAAAACAGACCCCTACATGCACTTAGGCCACTTTCGCCAAGTTATGGTAGTATACCGGCAAAACGACGCTTTAATGTGCATCATATTCCCGTCCAGCCTTGGCGACCTAGGTTTTACCTGGTTCGAAAGGCTACCAGAGGGCAGCATTGCCTCATGGGCGCAGTTGGCAGAGGCATTCGTGACAAAGTTCAAAACGAACACCAAAACACCAGTGGAGATCGACTAGCTACTCTCCATTGACATAGGCGACAAAGAAACATTGAGATCCTACAACAGTCGCTATTGGGAAACCTTCAACCAGATTGGAGATTGCCCCACAAATCTCATCATCGCCCAATACAAAAGAGGTCTGCTAGTCGGAAACAAGTTGAGGGACTCAATTACTATGACGTCGCCCCTCACGATGGAGGCCTTAATGGAGAGAGTGCACCAACATATTCACGTGGAGGAGGATGGCGCCCGTGCTAAAGCGAAATCTGGCTCAACAGCAATACCAGATAAAAAAGACTTCAGCAAAAGTCAATACGGTAGAATAACCAAGCAGGAATGGGTGAGGCAGGCGGGCTCACAGAGAGGATCCAGACAAAAGAAAGTTAAGAGTTCGCACTGCCATTACCACAGTGTTCAAAAAACCAATCTATTGGATTCTTAGTGAAATACGCAACGAACCTTTCATCCGATGGCCAGCCAAATTGAGAGAAGCCCAAAAAGACTACGATGAAAGGTCCCAGTGCACCTTCAATGATGAAAAGGGGCACCGCACTGAAAATTGCACGTCGTTGAGGCAGCATTTGGAGGAGTTAGTGGCGGCTGGGCACTTGGACCAGTACATAGAAGAAGGAACACAGTCAGCCCCCCAGAACCACAACATCCCAAATAGGATGCCGGTTAACGCTCCACCTCAAGGCGTAATTAACGTGATACATGGAATATTCGAACCTGAGCGGATATGTGAGCTCAAGGGGATGATTAAAAAGGCTGAACACTTAGGGGAGGTATTAAGTGCACAACCTGCCATCAAAAATGGGAGAACAGAGGCCACAAATGTCATATCTTTTTCAGATAAGGATTTAACAAGGATATACTGCCCTCATAATGATGCACTGGTTATCACTCTACGCGTCAAGAATTTTGACGTCAAACGGATTTTGATCGACCAAGGAAGCTCATGTGAGATAATATATTACGAAACCTTCAAACAACTGAAACTGGGGGACAAAGACATGGCACCCACAATATCTCCCCTAATCGGATTCAACGCAATGCCAGAGTGGCCAGTGGGCAAGATAATCCTCCCAGTCAAAGCAGGAACCATGACAAAACAGGTGGAATTCTGGGTATTGAAAGTCCCTTCCATCTATAACATAATCTTGGAGAGGGCATGGTTGCACGCTATGCGATCGGTAGCCTTAACCTACCACCAAGTGCTACGGTTCCCCAACAAAATCGGAGTAATTGAAGAGGTCTTTGGAGATCAAATTATGTCAAAACAGTGCTTCGTCACAGTAAATG